ATGTCTGAGTCACAAAGAAAGCAGAAGCACTACACAGAGAAAAAATAAAAGAATTTAGGTTTAACTAGTTTTGTATAAACCCTAAAACAGAACTTGTTTGAAACCTCTTACCTGTCAAGACCACTTGTTGGCTCATCAAGAAAGAGTAAACGAGGTCTCATGAGAATCTCAAGAGCAATACTGACTCTTCTCTTCTCTCCACCACTAATCCCACGTAAATGCCAGTTTCCTATAACAGTATCTGCACAATCTTGCAAACCCATCTCAATGATTGTCCTCTCCACCAAGGCACGCTTCTCCGACCGCAACATCTTGTCAGGAAGACGAACCCTTGCTGAATACCATATAGTCTCTCTCACAGTTAACGTGCCAATCAAGTTATCGTCTTGTGTCACATAAGCCTGTAAATAATGACCAGACTCAGACAAAAAAAATCATACTACAGTATATAAGTAGCTAATAAGATCCAAGAGAAGCTATAAAGTTGTAACTTATAACCTTTTTTTTAATATAAAGTTGAATAATAGGTACTTATTTTTATGAAGATGACTTTTTCTATGAAGTTCAAAGGATGCGTATCAGTTACTAACAGCTGTTCCAAAGGAGAGTTTGGTTTTGTGGCCGTTAAGAAGAACGGTGCCGGAGAGGAAGGCATTAGCGGCGAGGCGGCTAGCAAGAGCGTCGAGCATAGTGGATTTTCCGGAGCCGGAAGGGCCCATGAGAGCCGTGAGAGAACCCGGTTCAGCGTAACCGGTAAGACCTTCAAGAACGTTTTGAGTCTCACCATCTCCCATTGTCACCATCACCGTTAGATCTTGCCACGTAAGCCTGGCCGACACATCTCCGACGAACTCCACTGGAGCTTTTTCTCTCCATATAGATTCACTCAAGGGACTCAACCCACCTACCGGAAAATTCCCTCCGGTGACTGGACCCGGTACGGTGGTTTGTTGTCTGCTTGTTTCTATTTCCATAGTGTAACAAAAAACAGAGTAATATTTGATTTGGAGAAATAAAATAAAAAAACAGAGTCGGAAGAAACTGAAAAAGGTTTTGTCTAGAAAATGGAAAAGGTGTGAACTCTGAATAAAAATTATAGTTATCAGATTAAATAGGAGAAGTTCAGGAGAAGAGAGATTAGTGTAACAGAGTCGTGAGAAATTTGCATGAACAACAAACTTGGACTCGTTTCTATTCTCATGAACTCCAAAGACTGAAACAGACCAAACACTTGTTGTTCTTTTTATTTATTTATTTGTTTTTACAAAAGTTTCTTGATCCGAACAACAAGAAACGAGATAGTAATGAAGACAGCAAAGAGATGGTTGGGAGAAGGATTGAATGAAAAATGAAGATAGAGAAAGATGTGGTGAATTTTCCAATTGTTGTAGCATTTAATGTAAGTCGGGTAGTCGATAAATGGTCGCATTAAGTATAAATAGACCGGCCCAAGTTTTATTTGCTTTTTTTTTAAAATGTTTTAGAAAGGTATTGTGTGTGTTTAGAATTAGATGAGTAGTATATCTTAGATTTATTGGTAATGGAAATGATTAAAAAATATTAGTCTTGAATTATCTTGCGAAGGTTGTTTGTTTAATTGACAGCGACTACCTGATGATTGTGGAATACTATTTGGTATTTACTGCGGCTTTCCTCTTCAAGCTAAAAAATTAGTTGTGAATGTAGGAATACAAGAGATCAAATGACAAAAACATGTATAGAAATTAAATGCAGAAAATATTGTTTGACAGAAAAGTGCCGAACTATTAGAAAAGAGTACGAGTCCATTGTTGATTTGTCAATACTTGTTTTGTTAATAAGGGACCTTAATGACATTCTATGTACATCCAGGCGTCATTAATGATTAATTTCAATAGAACAACGAAGTCGAATTAATTGCTAAGAACATCTCCAATGTATTACTCCATTTTCTACTCTAAAATGGAGTAACTCCAAAATGCAGTTGAGTTTTACTCCAATGTATTACTCTATTTTCTTCTCCAAAAGAATATTTTTAATATTATATTTATTTCAAAATTAGGAATATCACCTTTCATTTATACTATTTGTAAAACAGTCCATTTTAAATTTATAGCATTTCTATTAAATACAATATTAACCACAATTAAATTTTTATTATATAAATAAAACTACTCAACAAGGTTTTAAGAGAATACATTTAATACATTAAAAATTACATTATATAGCTTAAACACAATAATACATCAATTCTAAATTATTCATTAGAATTATAATAATTTTCCCACAAATGATCAACTAATGCATTTCGAAGTAAAAAAATGAGCTTCTTTATCTTTGATTTCTCTGAAATGGGAATAAACTTTTGGAACCTCACACTATTATTTTCTTCAATTTCAATTTTCCTTGACATGACTTCTCTTTCAACTTCAATTGGCACCTCGAAATCACAATCATCTTATATTATCATGTTATGTAAGAATTTAATAATATTTTATCGGATTATTTTAATAATTTTAATGGATCCGAAAATGATTTATCGGATTATTAAGGCATTATATTTGTTGTAAGTTTTATTTCATGTTATTTCTTTTGTATGGTGCTTATCTTTCATTTTCTATATGTATGATCTTTTATGTTTTATATTATATATATTATGTTGTATAAAAGAGTTCATCATATGGTTATTTATATAATTAAAAAATATTAACAGTAAATTTTATAATATATATAGTAAAATAATATTAATATACTTATTTATAATAATATTTTTATTAAA